CATCTCAGGACCCCGGGATCATGGCCTGAGCCGAAGGCAGACACTTGGAACCGACTGAGCCACCCAGGCGCCCTGATATTTTTATTTTAATGTTAGTCTAAAAGCTTATGTAGTTTTACACGATTTCATTTATCTGCTAGTTTCCAAAATAATGAGTTGGTTTCCTAGCATGCTCAGTAGTGACCAGTGGTTTTTTTTCTCCCTTGAAGATTTTTAACTCACAAATTTATGCACATTTGAAGTGTTTGAATCCATTGTAGGTAATATTTCCATTGATGCTCAAATTATTTCATCATTGCCTAGAGGGAGAGTTCTTTCTTTTTTTTTTTTTTTAGATTTTATTTATTCATTTGAAACACAGAGATACAGAGAGAGAGCATGAGCAGCGGGAGAGGCAGAGGGAGGGGGAGAAGCAGGCTCCCCGCCGAGCCAGGAGCCCGATGATCCCAGTTCCCTGGGATCATGACCTGAGCTGAAGGCAGACGTTTAATGACTGAGCCACCCAGGCGCCCCTGCCTAGAGGAGGACTTCTGGACTAGAAGCATAATATGCTTTTAAACTAGAATGCTAAAGTTTAAAAGCATGTCTTGACAATTTGGTTAAACTATTTTATAATTGCCATTCAGTTTCAGTGCCCAAGTTTTATTTGTATTCGTACCAGTACATAGTAGTAATGTCTCAATTATTTTAGTCTAACATCAAATGAATGGCGGTAAATGAATAGACCTAAAATGTAAATAATACATTCATCTCAAGTTGAGGTGGAAAATATGGCATAACATATTCCATGATGCTGCTTTTCCAGTCTTTCACATGGGGACATAGGTGGAAAATGGAAGCATCATTTGGTACCTGCACAGGTAGCCACGCTAAGCTCTTAGAACCTGTACAACTGGAGTCGGCAGCACAGTCTTGTGTGGAGCATTGACTTAGCGATCAGCAAAACAACATCATCCGTCATCGTACATTAATCTTAAATTGAGTTTTATTAGTGTTGTGTTTTTTTTTCCCCCCATTTAATTTCAAGTTTGATTTGCTTTGGCACCTAGTTAGGGGTTAAAATCCTGAAGAGTTTAAAACAGTTTTTATAATTTTATTATTTCTTTATCTCTTTGTTTTTATGTTTTAGGAGTTATCAGATTGGTTTCATATATCACAATTAGATTTTATGCAGTATCTCTTGTGTTATTGCTACTTTAAGTGTAGGGTTTTTTTTTTTTTTTTAAAGATTTTACTTATTTGGGGCACCTGGGTGGCTCAGTTGGTTAAGCGGCTGCCTTTGGCTCAGGTCATGATCCTGGAGTCCCGGGATCGAGTCCCGCATCGGGCTCCCTGCTCGGCGGGGAGTCTGCTTCTCCCTCTGACCCTCCCCTCTCTCATGCTCTCTGTCTCATTCTCTCTCTCAAATAAATAAATAAAATCTTAAAAAAAAAAGATTTTACTTATTTGAGATAGAGAGAGAGAGCACAGGCGGCGGGCGGGGGGGGGGGTGTTGTCAGAGGGAGAGGGACAAGCAGACACCCGCTGAGCAGGGAGCTGGACACTGGGTTTGATCCCAGGACCCAAGATCATCACCTGAGCCCAAGGCAGATGCTTAACCAACTGAGCCACCCAGGTGCCCCATGAAGTGTAGGTTTTAATTCAATTATATTTTCAGTTTTGTATCTTAGGAGGAGGACCTGTTTTTGCCATGATACTTGTAGGAGTAATTAAAAAATATTTGTCTCATTTACCTTTTACATTATAGTTTTTGGTCTTTATATATCAGCCTGTTCATCTATTCAGTGGTGTATGATAGATCTTTTTAGAATTTTAAAATGAGGTTGCCAGGTAGTTTGTCTAACTTTTTATCTTATTTCTGAAATGATTAAATTTCCAACATTTGTTATTACTTCTAGATTTGGGGGTAATGGATCATTTCTCTTATTCTGTAATATTTTCCATATGGTTCCATGATGGGTTTTTGTTGTTGTTGTTGTTGTTGTTTTTATTAGTAGGGAGTGTGTGTGTGTGTGTGTGTGTGTGTAAATTCATTTTATTCATCAGCATTTAGCTACAGTTTAGGATTTGTTAGCAGTAAACCCACATGAAAAGGATGATGGCAAGTTCTCCTTCTGGCATTGGTAGATAAGATTATTTTGGATAACCTCTCCTATTCAGAACAACTAGAAAGGCAAAAAAAAAAAAAAAAAGTATTATGAATCTATCAGAGAACAACCAAGAAAGTGAGGGATTTTGTAGTCTAGATCTGGTAAAGACCTGTCAAAAATGGAAGTCCAGAAGGATGAGTTGTGCATTTGTGACTCTTCTTCGTGTAAGGCGGTCGCTGATTTCAAAAGAGATGGCTTAGAAGCAGAGAGGATAGGATCAAAGCTTTCCATAGATTGGAGAGGCAAGAGAGACCCAAACTGGAATTCAGGAATCTTCAGGCTTTCACTGGAGACACTAAAGAATGATAGCCTAGGAAAAATGATGAGCTGAAAATGAGAGAAGTGATGAACTGAAAATAGACCTGTTCTGATGGGGGCAGAAGCCCAGCTTTGAATCATCTTGGTTCCTAACCAGATTAAGGTTATTTGGGTTTCCTAGTGACCCTAGCCTGACTTGCTGCTAGAAGCAAAACCACATCCCTTCTGGAGGAAGATGTCATCATCCAGAGCTTTAAATAATCTCCACAATTTTTCATATACAATGTCTATTGCATGATAATCAGGCATAAGAAAATATAAGAGGTGACTGAAAATCAAGGGAAAAAACCAGACAATAGAAACATACACAAGAATATAAAAAAAATTCTGATTAACCTGTTCAAGAAATTAAAAGACAAGATTGAGAATTTTGACAAAGAATTGGAAACTCCAAAAAAGAACCAAATGAAAATTACAGAAACTGAATAATATAACTAAAATAGGCAAATAAATAAACCAATTCTGTTAAAGTATGGATTAAATAGCAGTTGGTATTACACTGAAGAGAGAATTAATGAATTAGATAGGCCAGCATAAGATACCCAAAAAAGAAAAATGGACAAATGCAAGGATGAATAATATAGAAAAGAGCATAAATGACATATAGGATTTGGTAGAAAGATTACTTGAATATAACCAGATTTTCAGAAAGAGAGGGAGGAGAGAAAGGGCGGAAATAATGTTTGAAGAGATGATGGCTGAGAATTTATAACACAGGAAAGATATCAAGGTAGAGATTCCATGATCTCTATGGGTCAAAAATGGGATAGCTACATATAAAACTTCACATTGTTATATCACAGTAAGACCATTGACAGAGTCAAACAAAATCTTAATAATTAGAGCTAGAAAGGGCAGACTATCCACAAGAAAAGCAATAACAAGAAATGACCGCTTACTTTTGTTTCTAAAAGGATACTGTCATCAGGCCTCACTTGAAAGATGTGAATAATAAAGATAAACACAGAAAAAGTTAATAGAGCTGGTTCTGTCACTAACTTGTGTGATCTAAAGTCATTTTATATTTCTAATCCCTTTTTCATGTTACAGTTTAGATTTGAGCTTCTTAACATGGTTTAATTTTATTCAGAGCTTATCATAGGTTACTTATACACTATTTCGTGTTCACTGTAAAATCGTTGGTCTACTTACATGTTAGATTTAATTTTATTTTACTTACGTATAAATGATTCTCAAGGTAGACCTTGTTTTCCTGGGCCTTCTCTTTGTATTTCTCTGGATTATTAGACTGGGTCCTATAGCCAGTGAATGCTCAGGCAGGATGGTATCTTGTATATCCCAAATTAGGGAAGCAGGGGACAGAGAGTGCAGAAATATTAGCCTCCCCCCCCACCCCGCAGAAATGAGAGCAACATTAGAGGTGCACTCCTGAAATTTTATTTCTTTAATCCAGACGTTTTATCCTCGGTTCTGCAGAAGAGCTAAATCCAAATAACCAAAATGAGAAAGGATTTGCTCATTTGTCATTCACATTCTGTTTCATCTGTGCTTTCTCTTCAACTGAGGTTACTTTTTTTCTGCACGGTTCCCCAAGGAAACCAAATTGTTCTCTCCATAAGTGGTCTTCTACTCTTTAATTCTGGCTGAATTTAGGAAACCCTGTCCTGTCAATCATTTGTTTTGACATTCTCTTTAAAGAGTTATGGGTGATTTGTTCTATGGATCTATGCATTATTTTTATTATTTTTTATTTATCCTTGGATAAGTTATCTAGACCTGAAGTTGCCCAGTAGTTCAGGGTATGTGGATTTCCCTCAGCTTTTCTCTCTGTTACCTTGGGTTTCAGTTGAATCCTCTTTTCAGGTCTGTAGCTGTGTATAGCTCTGGACATTATTCTTTGTATTTAGTGTCTTTTTATTTAATGCAGCTCTTTAGGTCTAAAAGTTGTCTTATATCCCCTGCTGGCTGACTCCTTAATAATCTGAAGAGAACATTTGGACAACTCTATTCTCTAGTATGTATTAACAGTTTGACATCTGACCACATAGTTTTCTGGTATTTGAAGTCTTTGAATGAATGAAAAAGATGTTCTGATATGCAGTTGGGCAATGTACATTATTTTAATAGCAGAAGTCACTGTGATAACTGGTTAGTTTCCTATTTGTTATAGACCTGGGGCTTCTGAAGGAATATTTAGAAGGAAGGAAGACTCTCTCTCTTCTTTCAGATATATGGCCTTGTTATGTTTCTAAGTATGGGTGGCACATCAATTAGACATTTAATCTGGTTTTGTAAGCCCTTAGGTAGTAGATCAGTTTTTCACATTCTGCTGATAGACGGAATGGGTAGCAACAGATGCCTTTTAAAACCAGATGTTAGAATTGGTTCTGAGAATATTTCTCTTTACTATGTTTATAGTTCTTAACATACCTTACTTCAAAATTTTTTCTGATATAAATTCTCTTTAGGAACTCAGATAATTTCAGAAATAGCTTTAAAAATCTCTTGTCTGTTTGTATTTGGAATTGTTTAAAGAGAATAACTTTTCCTTCATTATATTCTTTAATTTAGTTAAAAGAAAGCTTGGAACAATCAATAGGCCAACTGCGGAGTCAACGTTTATTGAGAAACTCAGGAGGGAGAAGTATTTCTGTTACAAGTCTGAGTGCAAGTGACCTCGATGGTGGCACTGTGACAGGTAAACTCTTCAGATGTTTTGAAAACTCTTTTTTGTTTTACAAATATTCCTGAAGTCCATTATTGGATACATTTAGTCTTTGGAGAAATAGGACCCATATACAATATCATACAAATAAGGTTAAGAAGATGCAGTTGTCAGTAATTTTGTGGTGACTATTTTGAAATATGTTCAGTAGGACATTGTTATTCTATTACTTTTGTTCTCAGACTTGATAGACTACGTAGAATTTTATTTGACAAAACTTGGATTTAATTGTCTGTCCCTAATCAAAACGAATACACAAATAGGATTTACTGTGTGGTGTACTTTCTAGATGAGAAGTCTTGTCCCGGCTTCATAGTTTTTCAAAGTCTGATTAAGAAATATCCTATGACACTTGTTAAGAACAGGTGAATTTTATCTTTGGTGCCAAGCTAGATTTCAACGGCTAGGTTAAAGATGTAACACTTGGTTTGCCTGTAGTTAATCTTAATACTTTTCTACAACACTGAGATCACATTTGAATGGAAAAGACTTAGAATAGAAAAGAACAGAGAAGTCTGCAGTGAAGAGAGGTGATTTACATAGAAGTGAACATTAGTAGCCCACATTGTTAATATTGCTGTTGATCATAATAAGGATTAAAAATTGGACACAATTAGCTATTTTTATGTAGTTTTTATTGATTTTTTTAAACAATGTTCAGATTTTAGATTAGTTTGTTTGAAAAATTGTTTAATTTATATTTTAGAAAGACATAAAAGTTATTTTTATTTGCCAATTTATTATTTTTAAATAAGGGAAATACTATATTACATCTTTGAAAAGTATAGCAAATTAAAACCTTTAATGTTTTCTATCTCCAAGTTATTTCTGTTGCTCATTTTATCGCTTTAAGAGCAAGATTAGTGCTGATTTTGTGGCCCTAGCAAGATACTTGGGAAATAGTCTGTGTTAGGGCCAATCTAAACAAAATTTTAGATTGTTTCTTCTCCTGCTTGTTTTTATTCTCTTTTTTTTTCTTTTATCTCTAAAGAGAGCTACCGGTTTCCACCTACCTCACCCCTCAAGGACTATGGGGATCAAAAGGGTACTAAGCGAATTAGGTCCAGAACTGGTGTCCGATTTGTTCGGGAGCCTGATGACATGGGCCAGGTACTTTGTATTATTCTGTAATCTCTATTTGATATATATATATTTTTAAACCAAGTAAACTATTTTATTTTCAATAAATAATTATCATTTACTTTGAATTTTGTAATGGAGGAGGATGTTTTGTGGAACATTTAAAGGTGAGTTAAGCTGGACATGTTTTGTTTCCTTGTTCGGGTGGCTCACTCTTCTGTAGCCCTGCTAAGTCAGCTACTTTGTTTCATATAAACAAGTTAGTCCTGTGTTGTTAACCTATTGATTTTTTTCATTAGTGTTTTTCTGATTGTTGAATCACTGATGGAGCTACTTAATAGAAGCAAGACCTTTTATACTTTTTTTGTGTATTTCATGTATTCACTGAAGATTTTGGATGTATTAGTTCTACAGATATATTTCTTTTTCTACTTTAAACTTCCCTACAAGAGCTGAAAAAATGTTTCTTGTTGCCTTGGGTAGCTAAATTAATTAGATAAGGGACTAGAGGATGTTGCTGACTTTGACATCTATGTTTTGGTTGTTTCGGGATTGCGGGCTCAAAGTTTGTCAGGATACTCACCTGTAGCTTTTACTTGTTATAGCTTAGGATAGAAGTAACAGAACCAAGTGCACAAGAAGATGCCTTGTAGAAACTTTTCCTTTACTGTGTTACTTATTTTTTTGGTAGGTGCAACTTGCTAGAGTGGATTATATAATGAAGCCTGGAGCAGAGAACAATATCCTAGCATGATTCATTTACTCTTTCATTCTATTTATTTAGTGCTAGTGTTCTGGGACAGTGCTTGTGCTTGGAAACAGGAATAAGTAAAACTTACCTTTTCCTGGAGCTTGTAATCTGGGTGTGTGTGTGGGGGGCTACTTATTAATCAAATAAGTACACAAATACACCCTTAACTGTGAGCTGAGTTGCAAGCTACAGCAGAAAGCATAGGCCATGGGAGTGTGTGGTAGAGGGACTTGCCCCAGTCAGGGAAGGTTTCCTGAAGAAAGGCTGATGGGCTGAGACCTGAAAGTTGAGTGAGTCATTTTAGGTAGAACAAATACTTTGGCAGAAGGAAGCTAACACCTATGAACAGCTTAAAGAAGGCCATGTGGCTGAAGACATATGAAGGGCTGAGACTGCACAGCCTTGTAAGGGGGTGACAGTTATTTTGAAAAGATCACTCCACCTCTAGTGTGGAAAAATGGAATCAGTGTGGGCAAACCAATTAAGAGGATATTGCTGTGTTGTGGGTGTGAGATGCTAGTTATTTGGATTAGGATAAATGGAGTTGGAGAGAATGGGGTTGGGGGTAGACTTAAAAGCTATCTGGTGGGTAAAATAAAAGGTCTTGAAGATCAGATGACCATTTGGGGAGGGTGGGAATGATTGAAAAGGAGGTGTCAAGGTTGAGTCCTAGGGTTCTGGTTTGCAAAACTGGAAAACCATGGCAAAACCCAAGTGAATGGTCTGCTCTTCATTTACTGTATTACCTCCACTCCTTTCTTTTTAACTGTTCTTCCTGACTTTAAGTCTCTTAAGATGACCTTTAGCTCCACATTGACTGTGTACTTTTTTTTTTTTTTTTTAAGATTTTATTTATTTATTTGACAGAGAGAGACACAGTGAGAGAGGGAACACAAGCAGGGGGAGTGGGAAAGGGAGAAGCAGGCTTCCCGCCGAGCAGAGAGTCTGATGCGGGGCTTATTCCCAGGACCCTGGGATCATGACCTGAGCCGAAGGCAGACGCTTAACGACTGAGCCACCCTGGAGCCCCGACTGTGTACTTTCTTAATGCCCTGCACATCATTTGTCATTTTGTTTGCATGTCTATCTCCCATGTTAAATTCTGAGCCCCTTGTTTCCTACCACAGTTGCCGGCACTGATTAGTTGCTCAATGTGCATTTGTTGAAATGAATGAATTTGTTGTTTCTGCAAATCTCTATAGCTTAATTTTTTGTTGTAAATTATAGTATACACATATATATGTGGTATACATATTTACAGTTAAAAGTACAATAATTTAAAGAAAAATTCATGTAACCACCACCCAGGCCAAGAATCAAAACATTATCATACCCCTAAAGGCTCTTTTACACTCTTCCCTTCCCCAAGGGCTGTCAACTATCCTGACTTTTATATTAATCATTCTCTTGCTTTAAAAATAAAACAAAACATTTGCACTACTTACATCTTGTTTAGTATTCTCTTTGTTTAAACTTTATATAAGTGGAATAATACTGTATGTCTTCTTTTGCTTTTTTTCAATTGATGTTACATTTTTGACATTCAGCCTTACTAATGTGTAGGTAGGTTTGAGCATTTCATTTTTACTGCTATATTATACTCCACTGGGAGAATATATCATAATTTATTTATATCCATTCTGGTTTTTTTTTTTTAAAGATTTTATTTATTTATTTGACAGCACAAGCAGGGGGAATGGCAGGCAGAGGGAGAGGGAGAAGCAGGCTCCCTGCAGAGCAAGGGAAGCCTGATATGGGACTCAGTCCCAGGACCCCGGGATCATGACCTGAGCTGAAGGCAGTTGCTTAACCAACTGAGCCACCCAGGCACCTTATCCATTCTGTTCTTTTTTCTTTTTTCAAGATTGTGTTTATTTATTTGACAGAGAGAGAGACAGCGAGAGAGGGAACACAAGCAGGGGGAGTGGGAGAGGGAGAAGCAGGCTTCCCGCTGAGCAGGGAGCCCGATGCAGGGCTCAATCCCAGGACGCTGGGATCATGACCTGAACTGAAGGCAGACACTTAACGACTGAGCCACCCAGGCGCTCCTCCATTCTGTTCTTAATGGGCTTTTGGTTTATTTTCGGTGTTTTCATTATGAACAGTGTTGCTCCAAACATTATTGTACATGGCTCCTGGTGCACGTGGGTAAGAGTTTCTCTGCAGTGTGGATTGGCATACTATGGCATGTGGTCTAGTTGAATAGAGTTATTGTGTAACACAGCCATGCTCATTTGTTTATGGCTACTTCTGTGCTAAAATGGCAGCATTGAGTAATTTAGACAGTGATCATATAGCCTGAAAGCCTGAAATATTTGCTGTTGTACTCTTTACAGAAAAAGTTTGCTGACTTTTTTTTTTTTCTTTTAGGGTATCTAAAAGGCCCAGAATTACTGTACTATAAAGGATGTGATGGTTTATATATAAAAAGTTATATGTAACTTTTTAAAAATTGCTTTTCTTTGGAAAAATATTTCTTTCAGAATAGACATGTATTTTATTATGTCTTAATAACATTATAAAATTTGGGCATTAGTGCAAAAAATAAGTTCTTACTAACCTTAGTGAATCTTCATGGAAGAATTAAACAGAATCCTAAATGGATAACTGTGTTTTGTCTTTACCAGCTTCATGCTTTTCATCAGTCCCTCCGAGACCTCAGCAGTGAACAAGTTCGGCTTGGAGATGATTTCAATCGGGAACTTGCCAGAAGAAGCCGGTAAAAACAGAATACGGTTTTTGTTGGAGGCATGAGTTATTAGAAGAACACAATAAGTTCTGTAAATGACATGTTTACATGAATTTAAAAAACAGTGCTGTTTTTATACCAGTATTTTAAAATTTATTAAAGGAACAGTTTAAAAATCCTTTGAATTTAGAATGTACTATGACTCCTTGTTAGCCAAATTAATTTCATATATATTTTTAAAGATTTTTACTTATTTATTTGAGAGTGAGAGAGAGCGTGCGCTCTCGTACATGAGCAGGCGGAGGAGCAGAGGGAGAGGGATAAGCTGACTCCCTTCTGAGCAGGGAGCCTTCATCAGGGCTTGATCCCAGGACCCTGAGATCATGACCTGAGCCGAAGGTAGATGCTTAACAGACTGAGCCACCCAGGTGCCCCTAATTTCATATTTTTAAAAACATTTTAACTTACTATACTGGAGTGCTGCCATTACAGAGGGATACATTGCGAGACCTTAGCAAAGAGGTCGATTTGCAAATACATTGGAGGGGGTGAGAGGCAGAGGCAGAGACCAATCTGATATTTTAGCTTTCAGTTGAAATCTTCAAAAGTGAGTGGTTTATATCTGACAAGTCTTTGCAGTTTTATCAATTCTGGGTAGTTCCCAACAAGTATCACTTTATTTAAAATTTCTTCACTGTCTTTTCATTTTCATCATCAGCAGTGACAGTTGTTTTTCATTTGGAGGCCATATTTTTACAAGAAACCAAACTTTTTATCCCTTCTCAAGAGTCACAATCTATAGACAACAGTGATGAGGGAACAACAAAGCTGAGTGGAAGTTTGTTTACCAAGTTCACTTGCTAACTCCCATTCCAGCTGACAAAATCATTCCACACACCAGCTTTGTGTTGCTATAGCAAAAATGGGGTCAAAGCTATAAATGTAAATCTGTGATTATCAACTGTAGTCTATATAACTTACCTGCCTTTAAATGAGGAAGGCAGGAAATTTAGTAATAAGAATTAAATACCTGGGGCGCCTGGGTGGCTCAGATGGTTAAGCGTCTGCCTTCGGCTCAGGTCATGATCCCAGCGTCCTGGGATCGAGTCCCGCATCGGGCTCCCTGCTCCTTGGGAGCCTGCTTCTCCCTCTGCCTCTTTCTCTGTCTCTCATGAATAAATAAATAAAATCTTTAAAAAAAAAAAAAAAAAAAAAAAAAAAGAATTAAATACCTTACTATTACTCCTACTACTAGTAGTTAATATTATTTAACAGTTACTTCATGTCAGATAGATTTAGGTTTAAATTTTACAACAACCCAAATTATTATTATTATCATTATTATTTTTTCCAATTTTTGGATATGGAAAGGGGCACAGAGAGATGAAGTAACTCAACTTGCTGGAGTTCAAATGGGGTTTGTGGTCTAGTCAGTATTCAGATGTAGGCATATGGCCCCAGAGTATTTGCTCTTTACCACTTATGGAACCACCTGTGGTTCAGGATCGTTTCTTGATATAGCTGGTATGAATAAAGAAATTAAGTTCCTGAATTTTGAGCTACATTGTTGAGCTATGTTTATTGTTAATCTTTTAAGCCAGTAAGGGTTAGTTAATTAAAAACTAGGTGTTTAGTTTTGACAAGTTAATAAAATTAGTAGAATGGTGTCAGCATTCTAATATAGTATGTTCTTGGATTGCTTTATTATGTAGCTTTTACACATTTGAAGAAAGGGTACAAATTAAGCACTAGGAACATGAATTTTAGAAATTTATCCTATAAGAAGACAAAGGGGAAGTTGTAGGGATGATTTATTTATTTAGTTTAAATGATCATTTGGATGTGCAGTGGTGGACTGGGAATCTTCTGATCCATGGGCTGGTATGGTCTGCTGATAGTTTGTATGACACAGAGGCATGTGTGAGGCAGAGAAACTTTACTTAAGCCAAATTAGAAGTCAAGTTTCTTGTGAAACCTGGTGACTTAACTTTGTGATTTTAGGATCCCATTCTGCTTACTTGTAACACAAGTGTCATTCCCAAATCAGCACCATCGGCATCAGCTAGGGATTTGTAGAAATGCATATTCTTGGGCACTATTGCAGATCTATTGATTCAGCAGTCCGTCTTAATAAGTCCTCCAGGTGTTTCATATGTTGGCTAATGTTTAAGAACCACTGCAGTAGAGTATTATGTAATAACTATTATGTTGTAAATTTAACTAATTGTGTATATTTTCTCAGCCAACTTAAAATATTTTTCTTTGCCTAGGTCGGATGCTGAAACAAAAAGAGCTTTGGAAGAATTGACAGAAAAACTTAATGAAGCCCAAAAACCAGATGTGGTAAGAACTCTCTGTTAATAAATAAATAAATAAATAAATAAATAAATAAATAAATAAATAAATAAATTCATATGCAGATGATAGTGTGGCTGGGCTCATCATAATCATAGTTAAGCTTAGTAGATTTTAACTTTTTGGGTGACATGTGCCATTTTGTCTAAAATATATTCTTGTACTTCTTATAAAATATTAATAAATTTGGGGTATTAAAGTTTTAAATGTTTATAGTGGTAATATATCAGAGATAGAGTTATTATTTAATATTTTAGAGTTTCCTTATGAATATTCAGAAGAGACCCAGTGATTCCATGGCTTGTGTTAAATGATGTTTGAAAAATACGGAATTTCTTGGTAGTGACTCTGTAGCACTCCTCATTAAGTATTTTCAGTATTTTTATTTCACATACATCTGTAATCAGAATTGCTGCAAAGACCTTGCTGTCTGTTGTTGTTGGACATAATGCCAATTGAAAATACCCCTAATTCTCAAGTTTTATTATCTCAAACTCAGACTGTTGACAGTCATTATTCAGTGGTTTCTTTTTATCAAATCACTGTCCTTGTGGAATTAAAGTGAAAAATGAAGTACATACAGTGTCTGTTTCTTTGCATCATCAGTTGTTTCTCTGTTTTTTTTAGGAGAAAAAAATCAATAGAAATTGTCAAACTTGGAAATTTACCAACTTCAGGAGCAATGTGTATTTATTCATATCCCACAGTACCTTTTGTTTTTTCAAGACCAGGAATCGTAGCAGACAGACTTTTTTTCTTAACATGTTTTATTCAAACTGAAAGTTTCTGAATATAGGCAGATATTTTTTTCTGCTGTTTTTATTGTGTTTACAGTTCTTTACATAGATATGTTGAGTTTATTTTGGAGTTTGAATTTATTGGCCACATATGCTAAGAGATGGATATGCTCTATTTTTAAAGAGATCAACTTAGTTACTCTTCTTGCAGTGAAATTTGCCCGTTTCAAAAATTTGAATAAACATCTGGCCACATAAAAGCACATTCCTCTTGTGCTTTTGGTGCTGATTTCCTACCAAGTGCCCTGGAGAGGTGAAGATACAATGTCTGTCTTTTGTTGAAATAGACAAAATCTTTGCAGTTAGTGCCTGATGATATGTCAGGTGATGCTGATGTGTGATCAGGAAATGGGATACTTCCTTTTTTTTACATAAAGTCCTAGAGTTTTCAAAGCATACCAAAAACTTCAGTTTAAGTTGTGCCAGTCTAAAATACTTGAACTATCGTACTTCAAAAACAAAAGTATTTTCTGAGATTAACACTTTGGAGCCTTTCTTAGTTAATTGCAGTGGTTCACACAGCAAGAAGTCTATGCCGTCGTCTGATTTACATACTATCTAAACAGGAACTGAACACATACTTTGAAGAATGTAGCTCCCAGACCTTTATAACTTACTAAATGATCTTCTGGCTCTTGTCATATATTCTAGAGTGGAACCTGTCAATTTATAGCAGAACCTGCTGAAGCTTTGTTTTTTGTTTTTTAATTTTTAATTTTCTAAATTTGGAGATAATTTACTTACAGAAAAGTGTATGACTCAGTGAATTATTACAAGGTGAACAGGCCCATGTAACCACCACCCAGATCTAGAAATAAAACATTACCAGTGCACGAGAAGCCTCCTCATTCCCTGTCCCAATCACTAATTACTCCTTCTTTTTCAGAGATGACTATTTTGACTTTTTACCCCATAGGTTAATTTTGACTGTTTTGAATTTTTACGTAAGTGGAATCCTATAGGGCAAGGTTTTTTGTGTCTGTTTTTTGCTAATCCTTAAGGTTATGATATTTCTGGGCGTTGTGTCAAGTACTTCCAGTTTGTTCATTTTTACTGCTCCTTGGTATTCCATTGTATAGATTTACTGCAATGTATTTTAACATGATATTTGAATTATTTCAAATTTTGGGCTATTACAAATAAGGCTGCTGTGAGTAATCTCATACATGATTTTAGTGCCTATGTACATGCATTTCTGTTGGTATGTAACATGTAGTGCAATTGATAGGTGCCTTCACATTTAGTAGATACTAATAAACCGGTTTCCAAAGTGGTTGCCTTAATTTGCACTACCACTGGCAATGCGGGAGAATTTATGTTGCTTTTCATCATTTCAAATACTTGGTATTATTAGACTTTCAATTATAGCCAGTATGTTAGGTGTTTATAGTGTCTCATCATGGTTGTAATTTGCATTTTCATCATTACTAGATGATGAACATTTTTCACATTTTGTCTTTTCTAGAGTTTCTCATCTTTTGGCCTGATATGGGCCTTATTTATCACATCATTGATATTTTTCCCCAATTTCCTACTGAATTGTCTGTTACGAATCTACTCCATTCTTTTTGTTTGTTTTTGTTTCCTTTTTTGTTTTGTTTTTTTGTTTTGAATTTAAATTCTGTTAATTAACATATAGTGTATTATTAGATTCAGAGGTAGAGTTCAGTGGTTCATCAGTCCTATATAATACCCAGTGCTCATTACATCATGTGCCCTCCTTAATGTCCATCACCAATTACCCCTTCCCTCCATCCCCCTCCCCTCTGGCAACCCTCAGTTTGTTCCTATGATAAGAGTCTCTTATGGTTTGTCTCCCTCTCTGATTTCATCTTGTTTTATTTTTTCTTCCCTTCCCCTATGATACTCTGTCTCATTTCTCAAATTCCACATATGATAATTGTCTTTCTCTGGTTGACTTATTTCACTTAGCATAGTACCCTCTCATTACATCCACATCATTACAAATGGCAAGATTTCATTTTTCGATGGCTGAGTAGTATTCCATTGTGTGTGTATATATACACACACACACACCACATCTTCTTTATTCATTCATCTGTCAGTGGACATCTGGGCACTTTCCACAGTTTGGCTGTTGTGGATATTGCTTCTTTAAACATTGGGGTGCAGGTGCCCCTTCGGATCACTACATTTGTATCTTTGGGATAAATACCCAGTAGTGTAATTGCTGGGTCATAGGGTAGCTCTATTTTCAACTTTTTGAGGAAGCTCCATACTGTTTTCCAGAGTGGCTGCACCAGCTTGCATTCCCACCAACAGTGTAGGAGGGTTCCCCTTTCTCCGCATCCCTGCCAACATCTGTCATTTCCTGACTTTAATTTTAGCCATTCTGACTGGTGTGAGGTGGTATCTCATTGTGGTTTTGATTTGTCTTTCCCTGATGCCAAGTAATGTTGAGCATTTTTTCATCTGTCTGTTGGCCACTTGTATGTCTTCTTTGGAGAAATACCTGTTCAGGAATTCTGCCCATTTTTGATTGGATTATCTGTTCTTTGGGTGTTGAGTTTGTTAAGTTCTTTATAGATTTTGGATATTAGCCCTTTCTCTGATATGTCATTTGCAAATATCTTCTCCCATTCTGTCGGTTGTCTTTTGGTTTTGTCAACTGTTTCTTTTGCTGTGCAAAAGCTTTTTATCTTGATGAAGTCCCAATAGTTCATTTTTGCCTTTGTTTCCCTTGCCTTTGGAAACGTGTCTAGCAAGAAGTTGCTGTGGCCGAGGTCAAAGAGGTTGCTGCCTGTGTTCTCCTCTAGGATTTTGATGGACTCCTGTCTCACATTTAGGTCTTTCACCCATTTTGAGTCTATTTTTGTGTATTGTATAAGAAAGTGGTTCAGGTTCATTATTCTGCATGTAGCCGTCCAATTTTCCCAACACCAGTTTTTGAAGAGACTGTCTTTTTTTTTTTTTTTTTTTCCATTGGATATTCTTTCCTGCTTTGTCGAAGTTTAGTTGACCATAGAGTTGAGGGTCCATTTCTGGGCTCTCTATTCTGTTCCATTGATCTATGTGTCTGTTTTGTGCCAATACCCTACTGTCTTGGTGATTATAGCTTTGTAATATAGCTTGAAGTCTGGAATTGTGATGCCACCAGCTTTGATTTTCTTTTTCAAAGTAGGAATCCTCTCCATTCTTGTTAGTGACTATTGGCTATTTTCTTTTTTGAGATGCCAGTTTGCTTCTTTTGCCCACTTTTTTTTTTTTTTAATTGGGTTGCTTGTCTTTTCATTACTGATTTGTGGGAGGTCTTTATTTTGTATATGAGCACTCTGTAAGTTATATGTATTGCAGTGTTGTCTCTAATTGTCTAGAGTTGTTTTGTCTCCTTCTTAAAACTCTTAATGGGGTCTTCTGTTGAAATTTAATCTAGTTCAGTTTTCTATCTCTTCTTTTGTGGTTAGTGCTTTTTTGACCTGTTTAAGAAATTGTTCCCTGTCCTCAGATCATGAAAATATTTTCTTATGTAATATTCTAAAAGCTTATTGTTTTACCTTTTACATTAAGATCTAATATCTACTTGGAATTTATGTTTAAGGTATGAAGTAGGGATCATACAGTTTAGATAAATATCTAATTGATTCAGTTTCATTTATTGGAAGAACCACCCCTTTGTTATTACTTTACAGTCCTGTCTTGGTTATAAGTCAAATGTTCATATATGCAGACATCTGTATCTGGACTTATTCAATCCTCTGGTTCATTTGTCTATTCCAGTGCCCATATCACATTGTCTTGATTACTGTTGTTTTATGATAAGTTGTGAGATGGTAGTGTAAATCCTTCCATTTTGTTCTTCAGGTTTATCCTGTGTATTCTTTACTCTGCATTTCTGCATAATACATTTTAGAATCAACATGTGAAATTATTAAAAACCTAGGATCTTTGTTAGATTACATTGTATGTATAGGCCAACATGGAGAGAATTGACATTTTTATAATGTTGAATTTTCCTATTCATGAACAGAGCAAATTCTTCCATTAATATTTTATAGTTTTTTTATCTAGAGATCTTATGTGTTATACATTAATTTTAAGATTTATTTTGGACTTTGATACTTTTATGCCATAGAGTATCACTTAACATTAAAAAAATTAACAATCTTTGTCTTTTTTAATTTTTAAATTTTTTTTGGCGGGGGGAGGGGCAGAGAACAAGGGGGAGAGAGA